TCAAGGGTTTAAAACTTTTTAAACCCAATTTTTTTAAAGAAAAGTTTGGTTTTAAAATGTTCATTTAAAACTAAATTTTCCCCATTACTTGTTAAAACAAACCCAAGGCCAAGCCCCGGGTTTCAAAGTGCGAAATATATTTGTATGCTTAAAAGATTTCAAAATTTTTGTAAAATATAAAAAGAAGGGGTTTTATTTTGGCCCCAAATTGTTTTATGTAAAAATTTAGGGGGTTTTCAAAAAAAAAAATTGTGGTAAAAAAATTAAAAAAAAAAAAGAAAAAAATTCAAGGTTTAATTTTTAATCGTCTTTGGAATATAAAGGTTTTCCCTTTGTTGAATAAAACGCAGCTTTAAAATTGTTCAATAAAATTTAAAAAACGATATTGGGGAAATTAAGTTTATTCCCCCATTCTTTTTTTCCCCCACCGCCCCGACCAAAACCCCCACCCCTTTTTTTTTCTTAAGGTTGAGGAAAAGTTTTGGCAGGTGTTTCTTTTTTTTAAGATTTGTTCCCCGAACTTTAAAAAAAATTAGTAAAAACAAAACCCCCCGATCCCAAAAGGGGCGCCTTTTAAAACAAGCTTGATTTTAAAAGGGTGTAGAATATTAAAAGAATTAAAAGGACATTTTTTTTCCCGTTAAAAAGGGGGTTTTGAAAATTCAGGGAATTAACTCTTGAAATTGAAAAAAAGGGGGCATTTTCAAAAAGATGGGAAGGTTAGTAAAAAAGGTAAAAAAAATTTATTTGGGGTTTGGGAAAAAAAAAATTTAAAATTTACAAATTGTAAAAAAAATAAAGTTTAATTTTCGGGGTTATTGTTAAGGGTATTTTTCCTTATAGAAATTTTAAAAAGAATTGAAATTTTAAAAAATTGTAAACTCAAAAAATTAAATTTTTAGGGAAATTGCTTAGTGAAAATTTTCGTGGATATTAAAATAAAGAAAGGAAAATTAAAAGGTTAAATAAAATTGTAAAAGGAAATTTAAGGGAATATTGTTTTGATTTAAAGTGTTTTTTGTTAAAATTTTCGGCATGTTAATTTTTCAAAGAGTTGAAAATTTTTTATTTTTTTAACATAAATGCGTAATTTTAAATTTATGCTTGAAAAATTTTTTTTTGGGTTTTGATTTAACATTATGTATTTGGTTTAAAAAAAACCCCTTGCCAATTTTTTTCATTTTAAAATTTGACTCATATTAATTTATTTAAACAAAAATTAAACCTATTAATAAAATATCAAATTTTAAAATTTTGAAAACCCCTTTTTTGCCGAGTATGGATTAGAAGCCACGACCTCCCGCATCCGAGGCGGACGCTCTAATCACTAGACCTCTGGAGCGGTCCAAAATAGATTGTAAAGAATATAATTAAGCAAGGCAGCTACAGGTACATTTTTTTATCGGTCTATGGTATGATTCAGCCGGAGTTCGAACCCACGACCTCCCGCATATGAGGCGGATGCTCTAACCAATAGATCGCCGGAGCGGTAGTAAATATAGGTAATTGTTGTATTGATTGTGAATATAGTTACAAGTTGTCATGGTGAATATAGTTAATTCCCGTTACTGTGAATATTGTTAAGTGTCGTCTTTACGGTGTATATTTGTAAGAGTTGTAATGATGGTGAATATATGTAAGAGTTGTTATTACATTCAATACTGGTAAGAGTTATTAAGGTGAATATTTGTCATTGAGGTGAATATAGATAACGTGTTATATTAAGTACAAGAAAGAATTATCGGTATAGTATTTGTAAGTAAAAGATGTCATTATGGTTAATATAGTTGTAGATATGGTGAATATAGTTAAGAATTTTCGGCATGGTACATTTCAGTAAGAGTTGTGGGTATAGTGAACATAAAAGTTGTCGTTATGGTAAGTATTATGCATGTTTAATTTGTTTTTGCTTTATGATCATACATTATGTATGTTGTATTGTGGACTTCACCTTGTCCAAAATGTAGTTCAGTGTCAACCTGACCTGTAACTTAATTTAGTAAACAAATTATCCTATGCTAATAATTTATCAAATTGTCGGTTAAATATTAGGATCGGGGTCTTGATTCGAGTCAAGGACATTATGTTTTCCATGTTCTTTTATAACAAATTTAATAACATTTTATCTTGTAAACAACTTGGAATATTCCAGAATGGAAAATTCCACAAAATCAAGACAGTCTTTTCAGAAAATGTTAATTGTGACCAAATCAATTGTATAGACTTATTTAAAGAAAATTTTTATTGCTTTGACATCCTGTACAAGAATCATTTTATTTTTCCGTTCAGATTTTGATTCGACTGGAATTATTCAAAGTATTCTCTGGAAATACAAATTGCTCTTGTGTTCCTGGACAAAAAAAAAGTTAATTTTGAATTATAGTGAATTTAGATAAAGACCTCTTGTATTATATTACTTTGATTAATTAGAAGACTTAGTACATATTCACAATGAAGACTAATGGTACACTCCAGACTAGAGAAACCTCAAAGCCTTGAGCGTTGGATGTTAATTGGAACACCATACAACCACAGATTATTATCAATGTCCGTTTTAGAATGTCGACATTAATCTCCTATTTCAAATACACGTGGAACATGCTATGGTTTAAGATAAACTTCTCATTCTCGTTGTCTTCTTTGTGATGCTTCATAAAATATTAATATTTATGTCAGAAAAAATGTAAAACATGCAAAATCACTTATGTTTTTAAATTTAACACAAAAACGTCTCACTTTGAGTTTTGAGGAATTCAGAGTATGAAAAGATTCTCGAAATTTCTTTGATAAGGCAAGATCACTTTAAGGAAAAGGTGGAAAAGGAGACTTTACTGCGTTTTACATCCTTCTACCTGCTGGATGTTCTGTGAAAAACGTCCACTGCTTACCAAGGTATAAGCGATGTTCAAATTTTGAATTTAGTGGAACTTGGGTAAAGTCATGAGTTTTGTCGAAAACGCTTTAAACAACCCACCATCACAAATTTGAAAATTTTAATCGCACAAACTTAATATCTCTTATCAAAATTTAGGGAAAACATTTCAAAATATTTCAGAGTCTAACCCATTACAGAATCGACGAGTTTAACAATGTGTACATCAACTCCGAAACTAAGGATTTGTGAAAATGCAGTTGATACAGCGAGCGTAGCACATTTACGCTTTGCAAAATCACACGTTAATACATTTGCGAGGAAGTTTCTAGAACGTAGTAACAAGAAGATATGCAATAAAAGAAATAGTTAATACTTTACAACATCCAAGACATTTAGTTTTCGTAAAGATCCATATGGCATAACCATAACAAAAGACCGTTATAGGAATTCAGAAACCTCAGATACACCTAGTAAATTTGTTAATTTCCGCTTGTGTATATGTGTGTATGCTTGTATGCATGCATGCATGTATGGCAACTATATCTGCAGTGTGGCAGTCACACTGCAGTTTGTAGTGATGTCTAGCACTGAGACATCATGCCACAGACATGTAGCATGATATTCCAACCAGTCATTATCCTGACACCAGGCCGAGCAGTCCTAACTAACCTCTTATTGCTGAGCGTTTAGCGAGGCAGCTGTTAGTACCATTTTTGCAAGTCTTTGGTATGACCGGGGATCGAACAAACGACCTCCCACCATTAGGCCACTGGAGCGGTTTATATATATATATATATATATATATATATATATATATATATATATATATATATATATATATATATATATATATATATATATATATATGAAATTGAAAATTTAAAGACGCTATAATGCATCGAGTGTCTCCCGTTTTGTAGGAAAATTTAGTAGCAGTTCCATAAAGACAAACTACATATTTTATCACTCGGTATCCAAGCCAATGAACCTAGTGTTAAACCTTAGTTATAAATGTATACCTTGAATTGTCACACTTAGCTGCACGGCCTACGACATCCTAGGCGTACGCTCTAACCACTAGGCCACCGGAGCGGTTGTCCATTTATAATTCTCCATTTTTAAGGCCAAGAAATGAGTAATAAATCAAGGCCTAAAATTTAGATCCTCTATAATCCACGTGATCATCCTCGCCACCGTTTTAGAAGCAAAGTATAGTATTTCACTTAAGGCATACGTGTTTTCTTAAATAAAATCTATGACAATGGTACTTTTTAAAACTTGTTAATTTTAATCTTAAATTTGAGAGAAAAAGAGGTCTAAGCGAGCCCGAAATATGTCTCCCAGCTGTACTGCCAAGTCTAATACAAAGAAGCACCACTGTTTAATCTGCTCAAAATTTATAAAAGTAGTTTGGAGATTCTTTTATTAGTTAGGTGGCAGATATCACAAAAAAGAACCATCAAAGATCAAAAGATTTTGCGATTTATAGAAAGCTGAAATTAAGTTTAATTTTAATTTTTATAAATAAATAAAATTCTCCATAAAATTCTACACAAAATGCAATGAATTTATTAACGAAGGCATTTCTCAAACTGCATCATCAACGCAACGCACGGCCGTAGATAGCGATCAGGGTCCTGGGATAAGAAACACCCGGGCCTCTCAGTTCTTGTTTTGTTTTGTTTTTTTTTAAATTTAAAAGTTTTGGCCTAGCCCGGGGATATCCATGTTTTCTCCCCTCCCTTGTCAGACCTGTCGACGCAAGGTCACCCAAAAAGCTCGCAATCTCGAGATTGTTGAAGTGACAATAATAAAGATGTGCTGAGTTAAGAAAAATATGGTGCACTAAGACAAATACAACTGCAAAGTGAACGTAATTATTCAAGCAGATATATGAACGTTTCGGTAAGCTAGTACCGGTATACCAGTTCCCGTCGATATTTCAACTTATTTCTCTTTCAAATTCATCTTTCAGTATACTTTCTCTACTCTTCGTTCTACCTACAATAGCGGAACATGTAGTTTATAAAGTAACCTGATCGGAGCCAAGGTCCTCACCGTACTGAACCAATTCTAGTCATCCACCTTCATGTATTTAAGTGACATGTTTCATTTTAGTAAAACCGATCCGGTAGCCTAGTGGTTAGAGCGCTAGCCTCGGATGCGGGAGGTCGTGGGTTCGATCCCCAGTCGAGTCATACCAAAAATGTTACTAACAGCTACCTCGCTTGACGCTCAGCATTAAGAGGTTAGTGTTAGGACTGGTCGTACTGGTGTCAGGATAATGTGACTGGGTGGAACATCTTGCTACATGTCTGCAGCATGATGCCCCAGTGCTAGACATCACAATAAACTGCCACACTGCAGACATCGTAGCGATATGACTGAAAAATTGTTAAAGCTACGTTAAAAATCATAAAACACCATTTTAGTTAAGTGTATTTTCCTTGGCATTCAACAGCGTACCATCTTGATAAATATCATTTGAAGAGGCACTGCTAATCCAGAAATGAAATTGCCAACCCGCATCAATGTTGGTTTTTGAAAACGAGTTAATCTCAAAAATTCACAATTACCCCATCACATAACACTAGAAGACAACCTCTTTATGAACAAAGACAATTACAAATAGCAATTCGCTCAGAGAGAGAGAGAGAGAGACAAAAGACAAGAGAAAAAGAAAGAGGGGGGGTCAGGAATGACCTTTTATACTACACAACATTCCGTCGTCAGGAATGCAATACCCCACACAAAACAAAAGTGAATTAAATGAAAATACACACCTTTATTATATTGTAAAATTGAACAGGTGACACATTTTGGTTATCTTAATGGAAGACCAATAAATAGTAATATAACAACGTTACAAGGAACAAGTTCCAAGACCACGCCAATCAAGGACCTGAACATATTAACACTTGTCAATTTTCTTTTCTTACAGATAATAAGGGTGGTTTTCAAAGTATGTAAAAATATGGATATTTCTGTGATTTGTTTTTTTCAGTAATCCGTCAATGGTCTTTTCTCAAGCCAAGCGACAATTTTAGGATCAGTCTCCATTTTATTGTAAACGGCCTTTAACCTGGGCCATTTGTATGTTTCAACGTTTGTGAATTGTTCGATGTTAAATATAATGTTGTATATCAGCACATCCGCCAACGTTATCTGCAAATAAAAATGTACCTATGTGAAGTCTTACGTAAATATTTTATCTGGTCGTTACATACATATAATGCATACAATAAAAATAATTCCATCATATTTACGGACAAAGTATCTCAACTAAAACCTTACCTAGTCACTGTGCATTTCACAACGTTATTTTAATTATTGCTCTTGCTTTTAGTCCATTTCAACAAATGTATATAAATATTGCATCACATTTTTCGACGCATAAAAATATAGTTCAGATTACTAATACTCTACCGAGAGTAATAATAATGATTATTACCGAGAGTATTAGATCGTACTGAATACGACAGAATGACTCGTACTAGTATGATACGTTACTACATATGATTCTATAAATCAGCCCACGACCCTACCCCCAAAAACAACAAATTGTGTTTATACTTATGGAAAAAATGTGGGTACGATGTCGCCTGTTTATTATTTAAAATAAAACAATTTTGCTGCATGAAAATCTTTCTTGAACACATGTGTACACTCTTGGACACTTGCCAGTATTTGGTGACAGAACATGGTTACGTTATTCGACGTGGATTTACCAATCGCCAAACAAGATGATCAGGAAATGGTATGTTCATATTGCCAAAAGAACCCTTCAGTTGATGTTACCTCAACAGCCTCGAAAAATGCCATATATATAAAATTCGCCCGCGTGTGCAGACATTTGCTGGTTTTAATAAATAGGCGACATCAACTGCTAAACCGCCTCTTTATAATAGATTTGAGCTTATTGGTCTGTCTAGTCCTCAGTTTTGCAATTTTATTTGTTCTTAAGTATATTTACCCGGTCGTGTATAAAGTGTCCCTTGTCGCCTTCATTTTCTGCCAATCTCATCTCGATGAAAGTCATGAAACTAGGTATGATTCTAAGTTGAAGGGTATCAAGAATTTCCTTCTGCAAAAGAGAATCGAGGCACAATATTTTCTAAATTGCATTTTTTCAAAACTTCCATTTAACAAATGTGGACGTAAGTTTGAATACAAGAACTAGTAGCCTCTACTTCGAGAGTCAGATATCCATGTCTGGTAAAAAGTTTTTGTAACCTACACACATCCGTTTTTATTTAGCATCTAATTATGTTTAATAGATCTCAACTATAATTGCAGCAAAGCGTCGAATCCCCCTCCATATTCAATTGGAACTGTCCTATAAACCGCCACCAAGCGCAGACTTACCTGCTGAAATCCTTGGCAATGTGTGCTATTACCTAAATCTCTACAGGATGAACTGAATATGCATACATGTTTGCCAGCTTGCTTACTGAATCTTACACAGGCTAAGCACACGTGATCCAACAAAAGAAATGGCATGATGTCCACTCATTGATATGCGGGGACATTTACTTATATGTGCAAATTCGTTTTTATGAAATGTAAAACTTTGTCCCGAAACCGGGAGTATGTTCTTCAGGTTTATGTTCCTCTCTGGTCAGTGCAACATGTATTTTGTCATAAAACTTCAAATGAGCACAGCAGAAACTACGCATTTTAATTGTATCTGCTATTAGTAATACTGCATTATGGGTACAAATATTTAAAAGGGTGCCACTAAAATCTTAACTTCTAAAACTTCACCAAAAATGACAGAACTGAAGACATGTCAAAGCTATTTTGAAACAATTGAATGTGCAGACAACATGCACATCAGTCTTCAAATCACTGATCTCTTGAAGAAATTAAATAAGAGTTCCTCTCTCACTGCCCGACATTTTGCCATATGTAGGCCCGAGTCTAAAACTCTACCCGTTACGGATCACTGCCATCTCACCTCTGACTGCGTGAGTTCTAGTCTAAGATTCGGCGAATGTGGATATGCGAGAAAGCTTGCCAGTAACTTCTCGTGTTTCGGTGGTTCTTTCCGGTGATTTCCCGGTTTCTCCATCCACCATTAATACTGGCCGCCATGTATAGCCTATCATGTGCTGAAAAATGGTGTTAAGCCCCAGAACAACATTTTGCCATAACCAGTTCGTGAAATTCTTTCATGCTATGTAAATTAACTGGTGTATTCAAATGCAAAATCTATATGCAGAATAATTGCCATCGCCAAGGCTTACCTTTCTTTCCTCATCAGTTTCAAAACGTGCGTCATATAAATCACGTTGAAGTTCAACTACTGCTTCATGGATTTCATCGATTTGGAAGATTTCCATATTGTTGGAGCCATGAAAACCTGCAAAATGTACATGATGCAATTTAATTTACTTTATTATAAGTATGTAATGGTAAGACTTTACTGTAATCATTTAATTCAAATCAAAATCATGGGCAATGGTATATTAATACCTTCTAAACAATCATCGTACTAACTGACATGAAATGTAGAGTACCACTTGGCTCCTGCCGATTAGTCCTCGTCCCCACTCAGAGCATAGACCTTCGAAATATTTCTAGATACAGTCGTGTACTAAGAATAAAAAAAATCGACATGCATACCATTATGTCCATAAGATTCAGGTCTACAGGCATGAATGAAAACAGACACAAAACATGACAGATTTCCAAAAACTGCTGTTCTGACGGCTATCGTCTGAATAATCGAGGAAGGTTGTAGTAATAGTACTAGTAGCAGCAACAGTAGAATCTTATCATGGTATGGTGGCGGAAGCTAGAAAATGCTTGTCCATAAGTTGAGTATACATGCACTATCAACTGATCATGGTTCAATTGCATACAGTAGTAGAAGGGTCTACGAGAGAAACGTGCAACATGCATGCTAGTGTGCTTATTGCGCATGCACATTCGAATTCTAGCTTCTAACAAGACATAATTCGATATTATTATTATTATTATTATTATTATTATTATTATTATTAACCATATTCCATTGCTAGGTAGCGAATAATGGCCTGTGACTGTGTCATCATGTTCCCGTCAATCTCCAGAACGGGCAAGGCCCCATGTGGCATTTCTATAAAAAAAAAAAAAAAAGAGAGAAACACGATCAGCCTTGAACAAAAAAGGTCTAACAGCCAAATATATATATATATATATATATATATATATATATATATATATATATATATATATATATATATATATATATATATACCACTCCCTCGATAACTCGCGGACATTGGGGTCCAAAACTATCGACCGCGATATAAGCGAGGGCGCGAGTTATCGAGGGACCTATAACAAACAACAAATATAACAATGGGATTGACGCATAGGGAAAAGGGGGTGGGGTGACTTGGCATGTTGAATACTCAATAATCGCGCTAAGATTAACAGTGGATAAATATCTTTTCATATCGGTGTACTTTGTTTAGTTTTTCCTCACAGAGTAACATTAATTTCAGGACAACTTACAGTATATTGAGGAAATCATCTAAACATTATTCCTCCTGGTTTCCGTTTGCTTAGCACATGTACTTCACACGTTGTGTATTACGTCACATTTTTGTGGTGATTGGTATACATTTTAATTTTATTGTTTGATCCAAAGTAGACTTTTTTCAAATACAAAAAATCGATACATTTCGAAAAAACAATGTCGATCGAACGATGTGTAGATTTTTATTGCGGTAGAAGTAAAATGGAAGAAAAAAATTCACAAGGTTTAACCATTACCAACATGAATTTAAGGGGTCTAAAAATTTAAAACGACATAAATTAGAACACGATAACACTTGCGGTTTGTGACACGTTTGAGAAATATCACTTCACATTTTGAAAAAATACAAATTTCACAATATGGATTCTATCTTTACAGGCAATACCGTTTTTTCCGCCCTATAAGTCACTCCTGCGTATAATATAAGTCGCTCCTGCGTATAAGTCGCTCCTCCGCACTTACCACAATCGCGTCTTTGATACCGCCGGCCATTGCATGCGACTTGGTAATTTCCAACTTCGTGTAAGAAATATTATACAATTGTTTAAGAGTTATATAAAAGTCAGTATTACAATAGACTTTGACTTTGCCTTGAGTCGTATTTGAATTGTCGAAAGTCCATGACCTGCAGTACGCTGTTCCACAATCCATTTTCGTAGATTCTCCTCGACA